TGCGTCTTGCACGCTACTGACAACCAAACACTATCAACTCCCTATAAGTAATCCACCAGAACTTCCCCTTCCACCTCTGGAAGTTCACAACCCTAATATCCTTAGGTTCTTCCAGGCTTCACTACCAGGATCCTCTGCAGCTCCTCCAGGCTGCTATCATGAAGTTTCCTTGTGCAACTACGGTGCTTCACCCTTCTGTTAGGTTCTTCCACAGCTCTCTTGGCTGCTACACCACCTCTACAGAAGCACGTGACACTCCTCTTCACTGCTGCTTCTCCTCACAGCTCGAGGTCCTCTGCTCCACTACCTTGGAGTCTCATCAGCTACATCATCTGCTGGCTTCGAAGTTCTCAGCAACTTCTTCCCCAAAGACAAACCTGCAACCCATCGACGTTCCAATAAAATGTTCCCCTTTAACACATAAACAAAAATAACCACACAATATGCTTGCCTCAAACCTCTATCTGTCCTCTACATACAGTGAGAGTGGACTCCCCCGTTTTGGGCGGGTCCATACTCCACCTCGCCTGGCGGCGTCCTCACTCGCTGGGAGGGTCTTCCTCCATCCGGAGCCAGGCTCCCTCAGTCGTCCGCCAGCGCTCAGAGAGGACGGACGTCGCTCCGTGTTCCTCCCTCTCCACTCTCTTATTTCAGGCTTTCTGCCTTATTAAAACATGTCTAACCTATAAATAAACATTGCTACTGTCGCTGGGCACACGACCAACTACAAACAATCACTATGAACTGGCGTTTATCGTGCTTACCACAGATTAACTGGTCGAGGGCGCTTTCCCTCTGACGGCGTCTGGTCAGGGCGCTCCACACAGCCCACAATAATGCTTCTGGGCGATTTAATATCTGCTCGTCGACCAGGACTTGAGACCACAACGTTCCCAGCTCGATTCCACAGCTGGTACGTCTGCACACTTCTCTTCTCTTAGAGATATATCACTAGGGGTTCCCTTCTGGCGGGAGCTCAAACGGAGCGCGGCTTCCCCCTGCGATGTCTGGCACTCAAGTGAGGTCAAGGTCCTCCAGAAGCGAGCCTCACGCCTCCAGCAAAATGTCCACATCTCCTAGCCAGTCATTTATCTATTTCCTTACTTACTGCCCATAATCTTAAATTGTTTTACATATCCAACCAGCCATTTTTCATATGGGTTATCACCTCAATATTTGCTAGACCTTCTAGTTAGGTCAGGCTTGCTGAATAACTCTCAAGGAGGGAGACTCGTTTCTCCTGTAGGCTGAGATCATAACACTGATCAACAAGGATGTTGCCTGAGCGAGAAGCGGCGGAGCTAATCTGATTGGAGGCAGCCGAAACGGTGTCCGGCGCGGACATTACTCAAGCAAAGTGGTGATTGGGGGGGGGGACGAACCTGGTGGAGATTGGTAGCGGGGGGAGGGGAGGTTAGAGGATGGGGAATCCATCTCTCATGTTGTGTTTGGTGTTCGACACGATCCCGTACTCCCGGTGATTGGGGTTCGTTCCCGCACTTCCAGCCCTCCGTTTCTGCTGGCGTAACCCGGATTTACCTGGCTGTTGTGGCTGTGTGGAGCTTCGGGTTACGGTGACCAACAGCCTCACAGTCCGAAGACATCACCGGGGAAGGTTGGTGACAGGCCAATCACCAGGGAAGGCTGGAGACAGACCAATCCCCAGGGAAGGCTGGAGACAGACCAATCACCAGGGAAGGCTGGAGACAGGCCAATCACCAGGGAAGGCTGGAGACAGACCAATCACCAGGGAAGGCTGGAGACAGACCAATCACCAGAGAAGGCTGGCAACAGACCAATCACCAGGGAAGGCTGGAGACAGACCAATCACCAGGGAAGGCTGGAGACAGACCAATCACCAGGGAAGGCTGGAGACAGACCAATCACCAGGGAAGGCTGAAGACAGGCCAGCCTGCTGGAATACCACAACGGAAATCAACAAGAGATAATGAACTACAAATACAACTTGAAGATATAACAATAAGCCACAACTCCCTCACTCTCATAATCCATCACTTCACCAAGTTACGTCAGGAGTTAATGGTGTTATTTACGACACTGTATAGCTTGACACAATCGACTTGAGAATGGTCCAGGACGGACCGAAACGTCGTCGTCCCTTCACCTTCTAGTGTGTGTGGTCTGGTCAACATACTTCAGCCACGTTATTGTGACTCGTCGCCTGCACCGCGGAGCTGTTCTCCCGAGAGAACATCCGGAGCGCCTTTCATGCCCCCGAGTTGTGTAAAAGCTTCATATCGATTCTATGCCTCGATAATGATGCACAGCGTCGTTGCACAGTCGGAGGACACAGCAACATTTGCAAGCGTGGCAATCCTCGTTATAACGGCCCCCCCTCCCCCCCCCCACCGTCCAGCAATCATCATCGTTGAATTGGTTCTTTCCTTCGTTCTACTGTCTGTTTGCTCGCTTCTCGCATCACTCACAGCACATGTTGGGTCGTATGTTATTGACGGAACTTGGCCAGTCACCGCCGGCCAATGGTGAGACATGACACAGGACCTTGTGTTGTGTCAGTTCCTCCATCATCCCTGGGGGGGGGGGGTGTGACTGTCAGCGTCGCTGCCTGCGTCGCTGTCTGCGTCGCTGTTTACGTCGCTGTCTGCGTCGCTGTTTACGTCGCTGTCTGCGTCGCTGTCTGCGTCGCTGCCTGCGTCGCTGTCAGCGTCGCTGTTTACGTCGCTGTCAGCGTCGCTGTCTGCGTCGCTGTCTGCGTCGCTGTGGGTCGGATCATTCCAGTCCGTGCGGCATGCTCTCTGACCTGGCTTCCTGCCTGATCAACCAGGGTACCAACAAGAGCCAGGGTACCAACAAGAGCCAGGGTACCAACAAGAGCCAGGGTACCAACAAGAGCCAGGGGTACCAACAAGAGCCAGGGGTACCAACAAGAGCCAGGGTACCAACAAGAGCCAGGGTACCAACAAGAGCCGGGGTACCAACAAGAGCCAGGGTACCAACAAGAGCCAGGGTACCAACAAGAGCCAGGGGTACCAACAAGAGCCAGGGTACCAACAAGAGCCAGGGGTACCAACAAGAGCCAGGGTACCAACAAGAGCCAGGGGTACCAACAAGAGCCAGGGTACCAACAAGAGCCAGGGTACCAACAAGAGCCAGGGTACCAACAAGAGCCAGGGTACCAACAAGAGCCAGGGTACCAACAAGAGCCAGGGGTACCAACAAGAGCCAGGGTACCAACAAGAGCCAGGGTACCAACAAGAGCCAGGGGTACCAACAAGAGCCAGGGGTACCAACAAAAGCCGGGGTACCAACAAGAGCCAGGGGTACCAACAAGAGCCAGGGGTACCAACAAGAGCCAGGGGTACCAACAAGAGCCAGGGGTACCAACAAGAGCCAGGGTACCAACAAGAGCCAGGGTACCAACAAGAGCCAGGGTACCAACAAGAGCCAGGGTACCAACAAGAGCCAGGGTACCAACAAGAGCCAGGGTACCAACAAGAGCCAGGGTACCAACAAAAGCCAGGGTACCAACAAGAGCCAGGGTACCAACAAGAGCCAGGGTACCAACAAGAGCCGGGGTACCAACAAGAGCCGGGGTACCAACAAGAGCCGGGGTACCAACAAGAGCCGGGGTACCAACAAGAGCCAGGGGTACCAACAAGAGCCGGGGTACCAACAAGAGCCAGGGTACCAACAAGAGCCAGGGTACCAACAAGAGCCAGGGGTACCAACAAGAGCCAGGGTACCAACAAGAGCCAGGGGTACCAACAAGAGCCAGGGTACCAACAAGAGCCAGGGTACCAACAAGAGCCGGGGTACCAACAAGAGCCGGGGTACCAACAAGAGCCGGGGTACCAACAAGAGCCAGGGTACCAACAAGAGCCAGGGGTACCAACAAGAGCCAGGGTACCAACAAGAGCCAGGGTACCAACAAGAGGCAGGGGTACCAACAAGAGCCAGGGTACCAACAAGAGCCAGGGTACCAACAAGAGCCAGGGTACCAACAAGAGCCAGGGTACCAACAAGAGCCAGGGGTACCAACAAGAGCCAGGGTACCAACAAGAGCCAGGGTACCAACAAGAGCCAGGGTACCAACAAGAGCCAGGGTACCAACAAGAGCCAGGGGTACCAACAAGAACCAGGGTACCAACAAGAGCCGGGGTACCAACAAAAGCCAGGGTACCAACAAGAGCCAGGGTACCAACAAGAGCCAGGGTACCAACAAGAGCCAGGGTACCAACAAGAGCCAGGGGTACCAACAAGAGCAAGGGGTACCAACTAGAGCCAGGGTACCAACAAGAGCCAGGGTACCAACAAGAGCCGGGGTACCAACAAGAGCCAGGGTACCAACAAGAGCCAGGGGTACCAACAAGAGCCAGGGGTACCAACAAGAGCCGGGGTACCAATAAGAGCCAGGGGTACCAACAAGAGCCAGGGTACCAACAAGAGCCAGGGGTACCAACAAGAGCCAGGGTACCAACAAGAGCCAGGGTACCAACAAGAGCCAGGGGTACCAACAAGAGCCAGGGGTACCAACAAGAGCCAGGGTACCAACAAAGTACCAGCAATAACACTCTCGGGGTCCGGGAGTAGAGACATAACGATTTCCAGACCACTTCCTCCACCCACTGTGGGGGGCAGTGGCCCCAGTCCCCCCCTCCCCTAGGCCCAGGGGACCCCCAAGGGGATAACCCATCTCCCTGCCCCCCCCCCTACACTCAAGGGGGGTGATGCCCCCCGCGGCTCTCGGCACTCTCGGTTACATGTACTCTACACAACACCACAATACTCTTATTAATATGTTTGGCCAAGATTGGTCAGAATATGGCGCCCCTGGCCAGAATATGACGACCCTGGCCAGATTATGACGCTCCTGGCCAGATTATGACGACCCTGGCCAGATTATGACGCTCCTGGCCAGATTATGACGCTCCTGGCCAGAATATGACGACCCTGGCCAGATTATGACGCTCCTGGCCAGATTATGACGTCCATGGCTAGAATATGATGCCCCTGGCCAGGATATGACGCCCCTGGCCACAACTGTGGCCAACATGCTGGTAATTCTACCGTGAGAGAGGTGGATGGGAGAGCTAGCAGCCCAGCCTCTACACAGGCATCACCCTACGCTGCCCACCATGGCTACGCTGCCCACCATGGCTATGCTGCCCACCATGGCTACGCTGCCCATCATAGCTACGCTGCCCACCATGGCTACGCTGCCCACCATGGCTACGCTGCCCACCATGGCTACGCTGCCCACCATGGCTATGCTGCCCACCATGGCTACGCTGCCCATCATAGCTACGCTGCCCACCATGGCTATGCTGCCCACCATGGCTACGCTGCCCATCATAGCTACGCTGCCCACCATGGCTACGCTGCCCACCATGGCTACGCTGCCCACCATGGCTACGCTGCCCACCATGGCTACGCTGCCCATCATAGCTACGCTGCCCACCATGGCTATGCTGCCCACCATGGCTACGCTGCCCATCATAGCTACGCTGCCCACCATGGCTACGCTGCCCACCATAGCTACGCTGCCCATCACACCGAGTCACCAAGACCTGCTCCTCTACCCTGTGTGACACACTTCCATTACCATTAGAAAATTATAAAAAGTCTTTAGAAATGTGCTGAGATTGATTTAAGAAATGTGTACGATCCTTAAGATTATCAACCACTGTGGTCAGTCTATCTCTGGTGGCAGCGAGCTTCGTACTGGTGGCAGCGAGCTTCGTACCGGTGGCAGCGAACTCGTTACTGGTGGCAGCGAACTTCGTACCGGTGGCAGCAAACTCCTTACTGGTGGCAGCGAACTCCGTACCGGTGGCAGCACACTCCTTACTGGTGGCAGCGAACTCCGTACCAGTGGCAGCAAACTCCTTACTGGTGGCAGCGAACTCCGTACCGGTGGCAGCACACTCCTTACTGGTGGCAGCGAACTCCGTACCGGTGGCAGCACACTCCTTACTGGTGGCAGCGAACTCCGTACCAGTGGCAGCAAACTACTTACTGGTGGCAGCGAACTCCGTACCAGTGGCAGCGAACTCCTTACTGGTGGCAGCGAACTTCGTACCGGTGGCAGTGAACTTCGCACCGGTGGCAGCAAACTCCTTACTGGTGGCAGCGAACTCCGTACCGGTGGCAGCGAACTTCGCACCGGTGGCAGCGAACTCCGTACCGGTGGCAGCGAACTTCGCACCGGTGGCAGCGAACTCTGTACCGGTGGCAGCGAACTTTGTACCGGTGGCAGCGAACTTCATACCGGTTGCAGCGAGCTTCGTACCGGTGGCAGCGAACTTCGTAACGGTGACAGCGAACACCGTACTGGTGGCAGCGAACTCCGTACTGGTGGCAGCGAACTCCGTACCGGTGGCAGCGAACTTCGTACCGGTGGCAGGGAACTCCGTACCGGTGGCAGCGAGCTTCGTACCAGTCGCAGCGAACTCCGTACTGGTGGCAGCGAACTTCGTACCAGTGGCAGCGAACTCCGTACTGGTTGCAGCGAGCTTCCCCCTAGCACCCCACCCCCTCAGCACTGGACGAAGAGGCAGAACCTCTGGTTCACCTTAGTGAGCCGAGCGCTACGTGGGACTGGCCGTCCTCCGTGGTGTATGTGTAAACTGATCACGGTATTGTTGCACCTGACGGCAGGAGAGTGGGGAGAGGGGATGGAGACTTGAGTTGCAATCGCCTAAATGCACCTGCATGGTTGACAGCTAGCTCCTGGGCCTCGCCTTACATAATGTCGGTTGTTTAGGCTCCAGATTCTTATGTAACCCATGTTTACCATGCAGTGTGTTGAGTTTACCTCAAGAGCCTCTGCTTGTAAAGCATCAGCACATGTTCTCCTGCGGTAGACTAGTACTACCCGACATCCACGGATAGCTTCCCTCAATGTTCTCTCGTTTAATTGTGCTTTATGTGGCTAGTAACTGGGTGGGAGTAGGGTAAAGCAGCAGTGTGAAGCAGCAGAGTGAAGCAGCAGAGTGAGGCAGCAGAGTGAGGCAGCAGAGTGAAGCAGCAGTGTGAGGCAGCAGAGTGAAGCAGCAGTGTGAGGCAGCAGAGTGAGGCAGCAGAGTGAAGCAGCAGTGTGAGGCAGCAGAGTGAAGCAGCAGAGTGAGGCAGCAGAGTGAGGCAGCAGAGTGAGGCAGCAGAGTGAAGCAGCAGTGTGAGGCAGCAGAGTGAGACAGCAGAGTGAGGCAGCAGAGTGAAGCAGCAGTGTGAGGCAGCAGAGAACAACAACACAGCAGAGGTCTGCACGTCAACAGGTCGGGGGATCAATGCCATACATTTCTCCCTGAAGTTGTTGACACTATGGTTTAAATTGTACATTATGATGACACACTTTGTACTCCCGCTGAGTGCCATTATTGAGTGTAAAGCAGCGTGGCACTCCCTCACTCGCTGTGGGACCGTCTCCCTCTGGCACTAACACTCCTGGTTTTACTATATCACTGAATAACAATGGTAATGCAACTCTGTGACGCTCACTGGCTCAATGTGGCACTAGACAAGTGTGGCACTGTTATACCTGTATAGACGCATACAAGTCGAAAATCTCAGTTGGATTTCCTTAGAGTTTCTGCATAACAAACCATCCCTCAGGTCTCGTGTGATGGTCGCTCGTTCTCTCAGGTCTCGGGAGATGGTAGCTCGACCTCTCAGGTCATCGTGTGATGGTAGCTCGTCCTCTCAGGTCTCGTGTGATGGTCGCTCGTCCTCTCAGGTCTCGTGTGATGGTCGCTCGTCCTCTCAGGTCTCGTGTGATGGTCGCTCGTCCTCTCAGGTCTCGTGTGATGGTCGCTCGTCCTCTCAGGTCTCGTGTGATGGTCGCTCGTCCTCTCAGGTCTCGAGTGATGGTCGCTCGTCCTCTCAGGTCTCGGGTAATGGCCGCTCGACCTCTCAGGTCTCGTGTGATGGTCGCTCGTCCTCTCAGGTCTCGTGTGATGGTCGCTCGTCCTCTCAGGTCTCGTGTGATGGTCGCTCGTCCTCTCAGGTCTCGTGTGATGGTCGCTCGTCCTCTCAGGTCTCGTGTGATGGTCGCTCGTCCTCTCAGGTCTCGTGTGATGGTCGCTCGTCCTCTCAGGTCTCGGGTGATGGCCGCTCGACGTCTCATGTCTCGTGTGATGGTCGCTCGACCTCTCAGGTCTCGTAAGGTCGTCCCTGAGAATTCAATTGCAATGAATTCATTCTAGTCTTGATTCTACCGACCAGGCAGCCGGTGGGTCAGAGACCGGGCCGCCGGAACATTGATCCTGAGAACAACCTCAAGGTAACCTTGAGGTGGTCCCTAGAACAAGGGACCAGTCTATTTGGCACTTAACAAGTGCCAAATAGACTACATATTGAAACCCTTACTTTTCAATGTTCCTATTGTGAAAGTTTTGGCGTGGCATAAAGTTATCTCTATTCGCTACTCCGTAAAAAAATTCAACTCTTTTTGGCCAACCAGAAACGTACAAACCCCAGCAACCCACCTAACCTATCGCGGTCCTATGTATAGAAAACGGCAATATGCGGTGCTTTTTTTCACTAGTACGTTGCATTTTTAACGGTTTGGTTAATTCCGTGAAAAGAAAAACGTATTATGGAAGAAAACGGGCTATAGGCAGTGAATGGAGGACTAGTGAATATTTCCAACGTGCAGAGTGCCAGTGTGAGAGCCAGTGGGAGTGCCAGTGTGAGTGCCAGTGTGAGTGCCGGTGGGAGTGCGAGTGTGAGTGCCAGTGTGAGTGCCAGTGTGAGTGCCATTGTGTGAGAGCCAGTGGGAAGTATAGGCACAGTTGAGGCACTATAGTGGCCAGAAAAATGCACACCACTATAGGAGTTAGTAAGATGCTCTACAGGAAGTGTGTGTGTGTGGGGGGGGGGGAGGGAGGGAGGCACTCTAGTTGAATGATGGGCGTGGCACAGTTGGGTAGTGAGAAGGCGTGGCCCCGCTGCTGAATGGCACTGGTGATGGGCGTGGCACTCTGGTCGTAATGAGATGTATAGTATTGGTCGTAATTACCCTGGTGAGGGCCAGGACCTGGCACTGGTAGATGACGATGGTAGGGACCTGGCACTGGTAGATGACGATGGTGGGGACCTGGGACTGGTAGATGACGATGGTAGGGACCTGGCACTGGTAGATGACGATGGTAGGGACCTGGCACTGGTAGATGACGATGGTAGGGACCTGGGACTGGTAGATGACGATGGTAGGGACCTGGCACTGGTAGATGACGATGGTGGGGACCTGGCACTGGTAGATGACGATGGTGGGGACCTGGCACTGGTAGATGACGATGGTGGGGACCTGGCACTGGTAGATGACGATGGTGGGGACCTGGTACTGGTAGATGACGATGGTAGGGACCTGGCACTGGTAGATGACAATGGTAGGGACCTGGTACTGGTAGATATGGTGGGGACGACGATGGTGGACTGGTAGATGACGATGGTAGGGACCTGGGGGACCTGGTACTGGTAGATGACGATGGTGCGTGACCTGGTACTGGTAGATGACGATGGTGGGGACCTGTGACTGGTAGATGACGATGGTGGGGACCTGTGACTGGTAGATGACGATGGTGGGGACCTGGGACTGGTAGATGACGATGGTAGGGACCTGGTACTGGTAGATGACGATGGTGGGGACCTGGGACTGGTAGATGACGATGGTGGGGACCTGGTACTGGTAGATGACGATGGTGGGGACCTGGTACTGGTAGATGACGATGGTGCGTGACCTGGTACTGGTAGATGACGATGGTGGGGACCTGGGACTGGTAGATAACGATGGTGGGGACCTGGTACTGGTAGATGACGATGGTGCGTGACCTGGTACTGGTAGATGACGATGGTGGGGACCTGGCACTGGTAGATGACGATGGTGGGGACCTGGCACTGGTAGATGACGATGGTGGGGACCTGGCACTGGTAGATGACGATGGTAGGGACCTGGTACTGGTAGATGACGATGGTGGGGACCTGGGACTGGTAGATGACGATGGTGGGGACCTGGTACTGGTAGATAACGATGGTGGGGACCTGGTACTGGTAGATGACGATGGTAGGGACCTGGTACTGGTAGATGACGATGGTGGGGACCTGGTACTGGTAGATGACGATGGTGGGGACCTTCCACTGGTAGATGACGATGGTGCGTGACCTGGTACTGGTAGATGACGATGGTAGGGACCTGGTACTGGTAGATAACGATGGTGGGGACCTGGTACTGGTAGATAACGATGGTGGGGACCTGGTACTGGTAGATGACGATGGTGCATGATGACTGGAGAATCTCTACCAGCATCAACCACACACAACCACTCCTCACCACACAAAACAACTACCACAATCGACCAGGGACGACCCGACCCCCTAGACACACCCAGACAAGCAGTGCCACGCTAAATGGTGATCACTGCTATAGTGAGCGGTCAAGAAGCGTTTGACTCACCACGAATACCATTACAAACTGCTTCTGAACCCTTCAGTCAGCCTGAGGGGTCAAGTATTCATAGAGTCCGTCGCCAAGTATTCATAGAGTCCGTCGCCAAGTATTCATAGAGTCCGTCGCCAAGTATTCATAGAGTCCGTCGCCAAGTATTCATAAAGTCCGTCGCTAAGTACTCATAGAGCCCGTGGTCAAGTATTCATAGAGTCCGTGGTCAAGTATTCATAGAGCTCGTGGTCAAGTATTTATAGAACCTGGGGGTCAAGTATTTATAGAGTCCGTCGCTAAGTATTCATAGAGTCCGTCGTCAAGTATTCATAGAGTCCGTGGTCAAGTATTCATAGAACCTGGGGGTCAAGTATTCATAGAGCTTGGGGTCAATTATTCATAGAGTCCGTCGCTAAGTACTCATAGAGCCCGTGGTCAAGTACTCATAGAGCCCGTGGTCAAGTATTCATAGAGTCCGTGGTCAAGTATTCATAGAGCCTGAGGGTCAAGACACGATAAAATATGAGTATTATTGAGTAATACATGAATACTACATGTATACACTGTATACCTGTATACATATATACCTGTATAGGTATACACACCGTGGTGCTACACTACACACTAATACATGGACAGTTACCAACACCTCTCCCCCCCCCCCCCCCCACTGTCACCTGCACTTCACTTGATACCTGGTTGATACCTGGTTGATGGGGTTCTGGGAGTTCTTCTACTCCCCAAGCCCGGCCCGAGGCCAGGCTTGACTTGTGAGAGCTTGGTCCACCAGGCTGTTGCTTGGAGCGGCCCGCAGGCCCACATACCCACCACAGCCCGGTTGGTCCGGCACTCCTTGGAGGAATAAATCTTCACTGCTTCCAAGTTCTTTCACTCGTTTGTTGGACGGCGTCGGACTCCTTGCTCGGGCGTCGTGGACGGCGTCGGACTCCTTGCTCGGGCGTCGTGGACGGCGTCGGACTCCTTGCTCGGGCGTCGTCGCCAGACTGACCAGAGACCGGGCCGCAAGGGGCCGCCATTCCCAGAATCATCAACAGGTTGGCAACAAGAACAAATACAATATATTAGTTCCCGCCTAAAGATTTGTCGGCGTCCAAACGCGTGAGCTTGTCAAGGCGTCAGGCAGCTGTACCGTCAAGGAGTCTGGCGACTGTACCGTCAAGGCGTCAGGCGACTGTACCGTCAAGGCGTCAGGCAGCTGTACCGTCAAGGAGTCTGGCGACTGTACCGTCAAGGAGGCTGGCCCTGTACCGTCAAGGCGTCTGGCGACTGTACCGTCAAGGCGTCAGGCGACTGTACCGTCAAGGAGTCTGGCGACTGTACCGTCAAGGAGTCTGGCGACGGTACCGTCAAGGCGTCAGGCGACTGTACCGTCAAGGAGTCTGGCGACTGTACCGTCAAGGAGTCTGGCGACTGTACCGTCAAGGCGTCAGGCGACTGTACCGTCAAGGCGTCAGGCAGCTGTACCGTCAAGGAGTCTGGCGACTGTACCGTCAAGGCGTCAGGCGACTGTACCGTCAAGGCGTCAGGCAGCTGTACCGTCAAGGAGTCTGGCGACTGTACCGTCAAGGCGTCAGGCGACTGTACCGTCAAGGCGTCAGGCGACTGTACCGTCAAGGAGTCTGGCGACTGTACCGTCAAGGCGTCAGGCGACTGTACCGTCAAGGCGTCAGGCGACTGTACCGTCAAGGAGTCTGGCGCCTGTACCGTCAAGGAGGCTGGCCCCTGTACCGTCAAGGCGTCTGGCGACTGTACCGTCAAGGAGCCTGGCGCCTGTACCGTCAAGGAGTCTGGCGCCTGTACCGTCAAGGAGCCTGGCGCCTGTACCGTCAAGGAGCCTGGCGCCTGTACCATCAAGGAGCCTGGCGCCTATACCGTCAAGGAGCCTGGCGCCTGTACCTTCAAGGAGTCTGGCGCCTGTACCGTCAAGGAGTCTGGCGCCTGTACCGTCAAGGAGCCTGGCGCCTGTACCGTCAAGGAGCCTGGCGCCTGTACCGTCAAGGCGTCTGGCGACTGTACCGTCAAGGAGCCTGGCGCCTGTACCGTCAAGGAGTCTGGCGACTGTACCGTCAAGGAGCCTGGCGCCTGTACCGTCAAGGAGCCTGGCGCCTGTACCGTCAAGGCGTCTGGCGACTGTACCGTCAAGGAGCCTGGCGCCTGTACCGTCAAGGAGTCTGACGCCAGATAATGTCCTCGTGGAACACACACACACACCAAAAAGTGTGTATATGTGTGTGTATCTGTGTGTGTGTGTGTGTGTGTGTGAGGGGGGGGGTGCCAGAGTGCCTGGCACACACCTGCCCGGTTCCCGCCACCGCCCTGATCCACACCTGACCTCGCCCACTCCCTCACTAAATCCAACAAAAGCTGGCATTTTTATACACACCATAATACGCTTGACAACAGTCCTCCCTTCTCCTCTGACACACCACCAATTGTGGAAGCGGTAACACACACACACGCACACACACACACACACACACACACACACACACACACACACACACACACACACACACACACAAAAGTATGCCTTTTTAACGAGAGAATGTGAGGGGCGTGTTCCCCTCTCTCACCTACCCTACTCTCACAGCCAGACTCCCTCCTTTCAATCCTTGTTTAATCCTGAAAAGAATTTTTGTTTCGACAATTTTAGCTGACACGGCTCTTGATCTGCTTTTGTCACTCCCTACACCACCTGTGGGTCTCAGGTGGTGTCCTTACACCACCTGTGGGTCTCTAGTGGTGTCCTTACACCACCTGTGGGTCTCTAGTGGTGTCCTTACACCACCTGTGGGTCTCAGGTGGTGTCCCTACACCACCTGTAGGTCTCAGGTGGTGTCCCCATACCACCTGTGGGTCTCCAGTGGTGCCCCCACACCACCTGTGGGTCTCCAGTGGTGCCCGCACACCACCTGTGGGTCTCCAGTGGTGCCCCCACACCACCTGTGGGTCTCTAGTGGTGTCCTTACACCACCTGTGGGTCTCCAGTGGTGCCCCCACACCACCTGTGGGTCTCCAGTGGTGCCCCCACACCACCTGTGGGTCTCCAGTGGTGTCCCCACACCACCTGTGGGTCTCCAGTGGTGCCCCCACACCACCTGTGGGTCTCCAGTGGTGCCCCCACACCACCTGTGGGTCTCCAGTGGTGTCCCCACACCAACTGTGGGTCTCCAGTGGTGTCCCCACACCAACTGTGGGTCTCCAGTGGTGTCCCCACACCACCTGTAGGCCTCCAGTGGTGTCCCCACACCACCTGTAGGCCTCCAGTGGTGTCCCCACACCACCTGTGGGTCTCCAGTGGTGTCCCCACACCACCTGTGGGTCTCCAGTGGTGTCCCCACACCACCTGTGGACCTCAAGTAGTCAAACATTGCCAAACCAGTGTTGCAAGAGAGGACATACAGACGGTGTACTGGTAACATTTCCTAAAGAGGCTTGTCCAGCTGCCTCTTGACAATCCTCCACAGTCACCCCAGCACAGACCTGGTGGTGTGAGGGTGAGGAGCAGCGGAGAGGCGTGGTCCTCCTGCAGGGGACCTCTGGAGGGTGCTGGGGGGGGACCTCTGGAGGGTGCTGGAGGGTGCTGGGGGGGGACCTCTGGAGGGTGCTGGGGGGGACCTCTGGAGGGTGCTGGGGGGGACCTCTGGAGGGTGCTGGGGGGGACCTCTGGAGGGTGCTGGGGGGGGACCTCTGGAGGGTGCTGGGGGGGGGACCTCTGGAGGGTGCTGGGGGGGGGACCTCTGGAGGGTGCTGGGGGGGACCTCTGGAGGGTGCTGGGGGGGACCTCTGGAGGGTGCTGGGGGGGCGTCTCTAACTTTGCGCTGGGCTTCTCCTTAGCCATCTTCCCTACCCCCCTTCAACACCTTCCCTACCCTTCACCACCTTCCCTACCCTTCACCACCTTCCCTACCCTTCACCACCTTCCCTACCCTTCACCACCTTCCCTACCCTTCACCACCTTCCCTACCCTTCACCACCTTCCCTACCCTTCACCACCTTCCCTACCCTTCACCACCTTCCCTACCCTTCACCACCTTCCCTACCCTTCACCACCTTCCCTACCCTTCACCACCTTCCCTACCCTTCACCTGTCCTATTCTTCTCTTGCCCTACATCCAGGTAATCTTAGTGACGATGGTGCCTTGTTTAACGAGATTGCAAATTAGTACTCTACTCCCCCAAGCCCGGCCTGACTTGTGAGAGTTTGGTCCACCAGGCTGTTGCTTGGAGCGGCCCGCAGGCCCACATACACCTGGTTGATGGGGTTTTGGGAGTTCTTCTACTCCCCAAGCCCGGCCCGAGGCCAGGCTCGACTTGTGAAAGTTTGGTCCACCAGGCTGTTGCTTGGAGCGGCCCGTAGGTCCACATACCCACCACAGCCCGGTTGGTCCGGCTTCGCTATTTCATGCAACTGGGAAAGCGGGTTATGGGGGTCGATCCCGACCCGCTTATGACCATCCCCGCATACAGACCAGTCACCGTGCAAAGCTTGGCAGGGAGGGGGAGGGGTATCCTCAACCATCTGGCTCTCAACCTCGAACAGTTAATGAGCTCCGAAGCACCAGGAGGCTGTTTATAACAACAACAACACTTGATTGGCAAGTTTTCATGCTTATAAACTGTTTAATAAATGTAACCAAAGCCGTCAAAGATTGAGGAAAGCTGTACGCGTTCGTACGGATTTGCGTAACTGCTTCGTGAATCTGGCCCCCAGGTACTAAGAGAAATGACTAAGAAGATAAAGACAGCCTCTTTAAATTGAGACAAAGAGGACGTAAGTGTTATCTTGAGGTTATCTTGAGATGATTTCGGGGCTTTAGTGTCCCCGCGGGCCGGTCCTCGACCAG